GAAACTAATTATAACCCAATAACACATGTTGATAAAAGTGTAAATTGAACTGGACCTCCCTTGAACTTAGACTTCCAGATTAAAAATATTTTGAAATACTAAGGTTATTTAATATATAAATAGTGTTTTACAAAATTTCATTGTCCAGCCTAACTGATGGGTTCTCTTATTGAATGAAAAGCTTACTGGGCAGGGACTTGTGGGAGACAAAAGACAGATCTAAAATGCTGTTTTTTACACAACTCTGAATTTGAGATGCAATGGGCAAGTTAAAGAGAATGTGGAAAGAAAACATCTGCATTTAACTTATTTTTATTACAGTTATTGGGTTTATTGGTTTTCCAATATTTAACCTGCTTTTGGCACTTAAACCATAACTTTTACTTTTTTAATCAATTTAACTAAAATAAGTTTTAAAAAATGTCACTGACATGAATCTCATTTAGTTGAAGTTTGTTATTTGTTACTAAGAAATAGCAGATATTTTATTAAAAAGATTTTTCCCAGGTTTTCTGCAATGTTTGAATATTTATAATGTGTAAGTAAACATACTGGTAGAAAGTGTAATATATATTGAGAAGTTTTTTTCGGTGTAATAATATAGTTTATTATTCATGGTGTCCTAGCTACATTAAACAAAGAAAAATTATTTGTTCTGTGTTTTTGTATAGGCTTTATTCTGTGGCACTTAGAAGTCTTAACCATGTCGTTTGTGGCTGTGAAACTTCGTTGGTAAAGATTTCTTTGTTTCTAAATCAAAGTTAATGTTCATTTTGTGTCATATATGTTTTTTATTTTATAGAAATCAATAAGGTCATTATAGTGTCTAGTAGTTTGTAGGAGTATATTAAATGTTGTTGCTGTTTTTCAAAGTTATGCTGTTTGTATGTGGATGGATATGTACAGTCACTTTTGCAACATTCCTTTTAAAAACAAGTCTAAACACTTCTTTGTTGTTAGGGTGGGTTATCAGTAAATACTCATGATGTCACTGAAAGTGATTCACTAAACTTTTACAGTTTAACTTCCTGCTCCTTTAAAAGTTACACATACAAAAAAACTGAATTCCAGAAACACTTGAGTTATTAGGTTCTTGAATTGAGATTTATTTACCTTTTTTTTCCTCCTATGCATTTTGTAAATACCCATCAACTTCCATCCTTATCAGAGTTAGGTTACCCATCTCATTGTTACAAGTGTTAATCTATGATCTGAACTTGGAGAAAACTAAATATTTCTTTAAATAAATAAGAAAAGATCAACAGTAGAAAAGTAATAAATTAATGTGGTATATATATATAGTGAGAGAGAAGACTTGTTAGATTGAAAAACGTGATAATTAATGTAACAGTAACTTTAAGAAGTGAATTTGTTTTGTTGTTTTTTTCTATTAAAAATAGCAACTGAAATTTTGCTGGTGAAACTTTCTAGAAATGTTCTGCAGAATGCCACTGGCTCACTAAACTTGTGTATCTCACACATTAATCCCAGTAGAGAAGAATAACTGGTATAACTTTTTTTTTAACAGTTAAACAGCCCAACATGTTTAATTTAACAGTTAAAAAGCCTAACATGCAGTATAGTTTATCATAATGACACCAGTTTTACTTGAATAAGATCTCTGTGTATTGTTATCCCTTTAGATGAAAAAAAGCTTTGCTTTCTGAAACTCCAAATCTGGGTTTTGTTTTCTATACCCTCCCCCAGTAGCTAAGCTGTAAATCTGAAGGCTTATAATGCTAAAAAACTGGGTTTTCTATACCTATGGAGGGCACAACACAGATAGCCCTTTGTATAGCTTTGTACTTAACTACAAACAAACAAAAATGTGTTTTATTGGTGATTTGATAAGAAATGTTGTTTTCCTACTTTGTTGTTGTTTCAACTTCCATCACTGCTTCTTTAAAGCTTAAACTATTAACTTCAGTTTTTGACTTTTTTAAAGTTGATTGTGTCCACTTTACTATCTTACTATTCATAGCTACCTTCTGTCTTCAATAAACAGTATTAGCAAAATTATTATATGTAGCCTTTTCTCTTTTAAAATACACTACAGTGCATACTTTGTATCAAAATTTAATAAGAAAAATCATTGCAAAGCCAAAAGAAAAGAAAATGGCTAGGTGTTGATTACAGGAACACCTCAGAGTCAGAGAAAGTTGATTAAAGAAAAACTAAACAGCAAGACAAGTTCCTAGAAGCTGCAAATTCTTAAAGGAAAAGCACAGCAACAAGGAAAGTAGCTGGAAAGTGATAAAAGGAGAACCCAAACAGCAAGGAATGTTGTTAAAGGTAAATAAAGAAAAACTTTAACAGCAAAGATAGTTATCAGAGATATTATTGAAGGAACAGCACAGCAACAAGGAAAGTTGCTGGAAGATGATTGAAAGATAATCCCAGTAGCGATACAAGTCACTGGATGATGATTTAAGGAAAAAAAACCCAGTCAACATGGATGGTTGCTGGGAATGATTAAAGAAAAACCCAATGTTATGTCCGTCTCGAATTTAAACCTTTATAAGAGATACGTTGACGACACTTTTATTGTATTCAGAAAGGCAAACCGTGTCAAAAAGTTTCAAGATCACTTAAATTCAAAGCACAAGAATATCGAGTTCACGATTAAAGTCTAAGCTGCCTTTTTTAAATCTAGAAGTCATCAACCGGAACAACAGGTTCGAAACTAAATATACACCTGGAAAAAAGTTAAGCACCCCAATATTTTTCAGGATTGCTTATTGAAAATAAGGTTTAATTTTCATGATGTTGAACAATGTTCATAATTTCAAACATAATTAAAAGGATGTGAGCGTTCAGGTGTGACATTTAAATCAGGCGCGTTTTTTTCCCCACGTGCAACTTGCTCCCTTCTTCACGTCCAATATGCACTATTTT